AGAAAGAAAGAAAGAAAGAAAGAAAGAAAGAAAGAAAGAAAGAAAGAAAGAAAGAAAGAAAGAAAGAAAGAAAGGAAAGAAAGACATACTGCAGATTAAATCCACAACTGGCTGCGTATGATCTGCATCTCTATTAAAGGGGCATTCCAAATCATGTAGGGACTATACCACCCAGGGACATCCAGAATGAGAGGATTAAGGTGACCCATGTAAAAAAGGAGTGGGGCTTCCATTATGTGGTCATCTGGACCCTCACCCAGCCCATTAGGGACCTCTGATCTCTAATGGAAGGAAGGAAGGCGCGTCAAACATTTGCGATCCAAGATGGGCATCATGGCATACACTGGGTGCAGTGACTCCTGCGCCAGTTATTTCGCCCCTGGCGTGCCAGCTCCCCTTCTTGCCTCATCGCTGTTTTCACAAAGACTTCCTAAGCATTAACTGCTGCAGCCTCCAGTGAAGGACACCGGCTTGCAAAGATTTGCCCAAAATGAGACCTGGGTCAAACGGGGTGCCCTTGTGAACCCCTACCTCCTTGAGCAGCGTCGCTTCGTACTCCTGAAGCTGTTTCTGAAACCCAAAGTTGGGACTGGCATACGAACGGACAGCTTTGGCTGCGGCCAAGCATTCTTCCCAGCCGAAGGTGGTTACCGTCATCAGGTAGGCTACCAAAATGGTGGTGCTGCGAGAAACTCCCGCTAAGCTGGGGCGACAAAAGGGAGAACCGTTGGCCTTCAGTTCACACAGAAGTGGAAAACGTTCGCAACGCCCTCAGGATCAGTTTCTCCCTCAAGACGAAGCAAAATGTTCAAGTCTTGCGGCCCGCAATTTTCCACAATCACATGAAGCCGTGGTGGTTTCTCTCATCATGGCTGGTTGAACAAGCCAAAATTGACAGGATTCAACAAACTAAGCAAGCCATAAAACAGGAGCCAGTAAGATAAAATGGTTAAGGTGCCAGATGAGGCCTGAGAAGACTTGGGTTCAAGTTTATCCTCATCTATGGAAGGCTACCTTTGGGCCAGATCTGGAAGCCCAGTTTTGCACAAACAAAATGATACATGGACTAGATCAATGTTTTTCAACCTTGGCCACTTGAAGAGGGGTGGACTTCAACTCCCAGAACTCCCCAGC